CCCCCCCCCCCCCCTCCCTCACGGCAGCCTGGCTGAGCAGGCAGCACTTAGCTGACTGCCATGGCAGAAAGGGAAGGGGGGCAGGGAGAGACGGAGGGGAGAGAGAGGCAGGAGGAGGAGGAGAAGAGAAAGGGAGAGCGAGAGGCAGGAGGGGGAGAAGAGAACGAAAGAGACGGAGAGAGAGTCAGGAGGCAGAGGAGAGCTGAGAGAGAAAGGGAGAGGCAGTAGGAGGAGCGAGAGCGAGAGCGAGAGCAAGAGCAAGAGACAAGACCAAGGTGGAGGAGAGACCTGAAAATCCCATCTTATGACGGGCTAATTGGCTAGTTGTACTATTAGACACCATGCGCAAAGTTACACTGTATTGCATTGGTAACCCTTTTTTAGTAGTAGATTTATAATTATTACCATATTCTTCTGACACATAATCCAGGACCTGAATTTCTAATCTGAGCGTCAGGGCCATTGTGTGTATCGAAGCGTGCACAGATGTGCACGATCCATTTGCACACAACTACTGCAACTGCACGCCACAACTGTCCCTGTATACAACTGACCAGTTTGATACACAAATCCCCAATTTGAATGCACAACCAAGTCCACTGCATAGACACATTAGACTCACTACTGTGCACCTTTACATAGACTGAGTTGGGTGAGCACAGTTTAGAAGCTGAAGCCCATAAGGCTCCCATGAGTTATATACCATGGTCATCATGATCAGTGTTCTAATACAACACCAGAATAATGGGCCAATCCATCCTGTTTGGTAACCACGTCAGTCGTTGTAACTTCTAGCCCACGCACAATTGCTCATCAGCTTAGAAAACTGATACCAAACTCTGTAGGCCCTAGCAAAGCCAAATCAGGGTTCTGGAGGCACCAGAATTTTCCAACTTGAATGTTTCAAGAGAAGATTAGTGGAGCAAAGGACAGGAGTTAGAGGCAGGACTGAATTCCAGTGTGAATGTATCCACACTATTTAACTGCTCTCTGCCCCATTTCCCACATTTGTAAAATGTTGATACCTACAGATCCCTCTCCCTTGGATGTTTTTAGACTAAGTTCATTAATACTTGGCAAGTGCTTTTAAACCCTGCAAAAGAAGGAGCTCCCAAAGTGAAGAGCATTATGATAAACAATATTGTGGTTTTTGATCTGAGCACAGACCTACAGTTCAGAAACTAGATATGAAACAATGTTATTTTTTATCAGAATAGCATACCCAGTAATTGAAAAACCAGAATTCCACATGCAAATAGAAGAAAACCAGTTATTAAAACCTCCCATCTGCTATTCTCAACTGCTGTTTGCTTTGATCGCTTGAAGTACATCTACACAGCAGGGCTAAAGTCAAAATAAACTACACAACTTGAGCTACGCCAATTGCGTAGCCAAAGTCGAAATAGTTTATTTCGGCTTTTGGCATGATCTATACAGCAGGAAGTCAGAGAGGGTATGTCTACACAGAAGAGGTATCCCAAAATAGCTGCCCTGTATCTTTTGAATGCGTCTGCTATTTTGAAATATAGCAGTCATGTTATTTCGCCATCCCTGTAAACCTCATTCTATGAGGAGGAAGGGATGGTTCAAAATAGTGTTTTATTTCAAAATTTGGCACTGTATAGACAGCGTCAAATGACATAATAAGCTATTTCATAGTGCAAGTTGCGTATGTTATTTCGAGTTTCGGGTGCTGTGTAGATGCACCCAGAAAGAGCGCTCTTCCTCTGACTTCCCTTATTTCTCATACAATGAGGGTTACAGGAGTTGGAGTAAGAAGTCCTCCAGCTTGACAGTATTTCGACATTATGTTGCAATAACTGCCTCCAGTGTAGACGCAGACTGAGCTATTTCAGAATAACGCCATTTTATTCTGAAATAACGCTGCTGTGTAGACATAGCCTGGGAATTTCTAGTGCTATAAATGCAGTACTCTTTTAAAAGGCAAGCTGTAGGCCTCGTTCTGTAGTTGCTCCTTGTACATCTCTTGCTGAAGTCAAGGAGAGTTCCTGACACGGGGCAGCTGCCGGTTAACCCCCTCAACTAGTTAATATTGGCAAATGCATGGAATTTTTCTGGGAAATATCTTACGCTCCATCTAAGACTAAGGTTGGGTGTCTTCCCCCTTCCATGGAACACCAAACCACTGAATGACTTTTGTGTATCTCCAAAACCTGCGAAGAAGGATTTTCAAAAATGCCTCTGAATTACAGCATCACGACTCCCAGTTAAAGCCAATGGCTGTTAAATCTCTTGGACCCTTTTCAAAATAATCCCTGTGAGGTTCACACAAGGATTAAAACAAATATTTTCATTTCCACTCAGCCTTAGATAGCTACAGTAAAGATGGGGGCACTTGCGTACCACAGGAATGGCAGCAATACAAGTACCTAAAAGAGACAGAAGATAGTGACTCTTGAACGCAGACTCCGAGCCACTGAGTCCAAGACATATATAAACAGCACTCTGTTAATTAGACCAATAAAAGTTACATATGGGGCCAGATTCTGATCCTATTAAAATCAGTGGCAAAACTCTCATTAACTTCATTAGAAACAAGTTTTAGTCTTTGGTGGCAAAAATATAAGAACAGAATACAACAAACTTTGATACGCTGTTTTCTGTAAACCCAAGATTCACACTTCTCTCCTTATCTGGTCTACCATACTTAATTACACGTAAAATAATGGTTTGACTGCTCTTCCACATTGCCTCCCTGGGACATTTATAAAAGCTGATTGCAACTTACAAGAAGCTTTACAAGTTATCATTGTTTTAAATAGATTAAGAACTCAGGACGGGTGAGCTGCAGATTAGCTTCACTGAAAATAAAAATGCAATGCCATTTTATCCACTACAGTTTTAAAGAACTATATAAGTACTATTATTTGAATCCCCAAGCATGCCACAGCTATTGCATAATAATAAGTCAGCAGAACATATTCCGTTTGTTTAGCGCTACCACCAAACTCAGTGCTTTGGCGAGCAGGCATGATTATCTATGCATGTTTGGAACCCATGAGGGGACATTAAATTGAATTAACTTCCAACTGGCTTTTGCACATTTTCACATTGCACTCATGTTGACACCCAAATGTGTCCCTCGTTATTATTGACATTAGAACGAACACCCAATGCACAGGGACCGACTGGCCACTTATTCTCAGACGTGGCCAGGATTTGCCATGTGACCATTATTTGGGTCCCATAGCTGTCTTCCTTTCCTGCTGGAAGACCTCACCTTGAACATCAAGCATAGCCACCACTTTAGTGCTCCCAGCTTCACAAGAATAGATGCCACTGTCTTCGGGAAGGGCAGGTGTAAATTTTAGCTTGGCTACATTCCAGTCCTGCTCGATCATGACTCGTTGCCCATCTGCAGAAACTTCCTGATCATTTTTCTTCCATGTGGCTTGCACTGGCCTAGAGTACTGGCATATGAACTCTGCCGTGCCATCTTCATCAACGGTAATGTCCCGCATGGGGCTGACCACCTCAATAGTTGGATCTGTCAACCAACACGTCGGGAGGGACATGCATTAGTGGAGCCGGATGGAAACGGCCACTCAGATTTTGTCAAGCACAGAGCCCGTGTGGAACAGGAAGCGCATCAAACGGTGTTACAAGCACCAGGCGGTCCGGATGTGCTGTGGGTTAGCAGGTTTAGCATTGGCTGGTGTCAGCATCAAGCAGCATGGAAGCAAAACAGGCTACATTAGGACAGCTGTAGTGTCAGATAGCTTAGCCCAGAGGATCTCAAGCTTCTTTGATCTGGCCCCTTTGTGTGCCTTAGTTGTTTATACCCCGCCCCCTTCTGAAGTACATATCTAACAGAGAGTTACAAGGAGGAGGGAGAAAATTGTTCTCCTTGACCTCTGAGGATAGGACAAGAAGCAATGGGCTTAAACTGCAGCAAGAGAGGTTTAGGTTGGACATGAGGAAAAACTTCCTGACTGCCAGGGTGGAAGTCAGGACCGCAGCCCCACTTACAGCTCCACCCCCTCTGCTGAGGCCCCGCACCCATGGGGAGGAGAGGCGGCGGGGTAGCATGCCAAGTGTATTTACTGGAATAAGTTGCCTAGGGAGGTTGTGGAATCTCCATCCCTGGAGATATTTAAGAACAGATTAGACAGACACCTGTCAGGGATGATGTAGATGGTGCTTGGTCCTGCCGTGTGGGCAGGGGACTGGACTTGCTGGCCTATTGAGGTCCCTTCTAGTCCTAGGGTCCTGTGATTCCAAATACCCCCAGCCAGCACTGCAGCAGAGGAGAGCCTCGGCAGCTGGGCACAGTAAGGATGGAAAGGTGAAAAGTGATATCTGTCAGTAGACTTAGTGCCCCATTGCCACCCTTAATTCTGCACGGATGCTGTCACCCCTGGAGTGACTGCTGGATCCAGCTGAAGGTTTGCAGGGGTGAGGGAGATTCTGGGCCCTGACTGCCTCCCAGTGTGCGGTGCGTGGGGGGGCAAGGAGAGCTGGAGTGGCATAGCTCTGACTGTCAGTCCTAGGGTGGCAGGGTTCCAGCTGTCCCCTTTACTCCAGGTTCCTAGGTAAACCTGCCCTATAGTTTGGGAACAGCCAGTTTAGCTGAAATAACTAAGACTTTCATATAAGACATCCAGTGGCTTAGGCAGGGGAAGGCACAACCTTCCGAAACTGCCACGCCCACACTCCGCCCCCTGAACACCTGCTGTAGGTGTAACCCACACACCTAGGCTATGTCTACACTGGCGGCTTCTTGCGCAAGAACATCTTACGCAAGTGTTCTTGTGCAAGAACATGTCCACACTGCCATGTGCGAGCTGTGCTTTTGCGCAAGAGCATCCATGCCAGTGTGGACGCTCTCTTGAGCAAGAAAGCTCCGATGGCCGGTTTAGCCATAGGGCTTTCTTGTGCAAG